ACAATGTCCCCAATCACCAAATCATACTTGTCAGCGATCCTTAGTACCTTGTTATGGTCTTTTAGGGCCTTTTCTGGCTTTTTCAGCAATCTGTAGAACTCATCTTATCGGGTTTTTTTTTTTCGATAACTCGAAAAGGGCACCACAAGATTTTTATTAAGGTCTAAAACCGAATTGCATTCTTATTACTCAAAGATAAATAAATATGTTAATAAATTAGAATTATTATTATTTTTTTTAATGAACCTCGACTTGGCTTTCCAGTTGTTTTGATTCGGGCGCCACTGATTAGTCTTATTAAAACAAAATGCTTAATTAGCGTGGCATTTAATAATCCATGTATCTTCGGTGAGTTTTTATTTCAAGAATATGAAGATAATTGTATTTAGCACCTAACCACCAGATCATATGACAGATGTCTTCCCATTGCGTACGTCGTATCGGAAGTGATACTTTTATGTAGTTTCAATTATAATTATGTGGAAATTGAACAGATGGTGTTGCAATTAATGTTTGAACAATAAGTTCATTATCTCTATTAGATCGAAAACAGTAGTTTTGATTCTAGAACTCACTGGTATCTCAGATAAAATATGCATTTCGGGTCTTATTAACAATAAAGAGTCGTCTGTATCCAAGGTTTTATAAAATTGCTTCCCCCATTTTTTTTAAGTACTAGTAAATAGGTGCTTGGAAAGAATTAAAAACAAATATGATTGTCCAAGGCCTCTTCTCACACTTTCACAGATGAAAGCGTGATGTTTGTATAAATAACATTGTAGGAGTAGGTCTAAGTCCAAAAGTTCCAAATTTGAGGAATGAATAGCAATATAAAATCAGTTGTGATTTAGTTTGGTTTTGGACTACTTTTTTAAAATTATATCAAAGGTCACTAACACGTTTTAGTTTTAGTTTTAGATGAAACATATTTTATTCGTTTACTCTATAAATGAGTCGTTTCCGCCCAGAAGCACATTTATCAGCTTGAAAGGATTTATGATTGAAACTGACTAAAATTGAATTTTGGAACAAACAAACAAAAACTCAAAATAAGTTGAAGTTTACAAGTGCAGTAAATTTGGTACCATTAATGTTATTATGTAAATATTAATAACTCAAATTACTCAAAAACATCACTAGAGCAATGTAAATAAGAAAGAAGTTTTAGAATTTTAAAATATAGCCTACATAATAACATGATACGCTAATACTCTTACCAAAACTCAGATGACTGGATCCTCGGTTGGTAAGAAATGGAAATTTCTAATATTCCGATACAATTATAATAGGAGGTTAAATGAACTTTTGAATATGGTATAAAATTCATTTTATTTGAACATTTAAGAGGGTAGTCCTTGGTAACCCCAAAATTTTCCTCTCGTTTTATTTTTATCATATTTACACCATTGAAAGAGTAGGGTCCATGCATTATCTGCCAAAGCCATAGTTGAATTTTATGTTTATGGTATATTGAATATGACCGATTTTGGGGTACCCTAAATAGCGATCGAAAACACTTGTAGACGTATATTATTGTGTGCTTTTGCACATGCTCTCATTAGGAATACCCATGACTGTTAAAATGTGTAGTAGAAACATAGTACGACGATTACCATAAGGACGAATTGATATATCTACATTAAAAAAAAAAAGTAATATTGGTTTTCCTCCCCAAGACTTCAAAATGCCCTTGTCATCGGACCAGCAGACGCTAAATTGAATGTTTTGGCAGCCTGTCACTATCTAAGTATTATCTTTGTGCTAATGTAGGTTACTTCTTAGCATTAGATTGTACTAGGATGACTGTTCAGATCATATCTTCTAGAATATTGCCGTTTGTATTTGAAAACCAAAGACAATCAGTTAAGAATAGCCTATCGACCAATAGCTTAGTACTAAAACCTTATGACTCATCATTCAATCCAATTTTTATCAATTCAATTTTTCCCAAACCTTTAAAGATTTTATCTAAATGATGTCAAGATTCATTCCAAAATCTCCTCAGTACATAGTTTTTTTTTCAAAAGCATTTCATGTCTTGAAAAAATATAATTCCTTAATTTATTGCTTGGAGAAGTCAAACTTGTCCAATTTTCTGAGATTCTCCTGCATCATTCTCATAACCAAATATAAACAATATAAACGCTGGATCACAGTGTTTCAATTACTTCTAGGTTAAAACGCACAAATAACTCCCAATACATTTGTAAGAGTTGTCTCAAATACCCTAGGTATATCCTCTTAAATTTGAAGTTAATTACTTCACACAATGAACTAGTATTTGATGTAAAGAGATAGGATCAATATTGGCTGTATAACCAAATTTAGTTGCTCGTACTTAATCAAGAAGAAAGGGCTTATCATTATCTTGCTTACTGTGAACCAACTTATTTTCGCAGATACTTTGTTTCGCGTTTAGTCCTTTCTATTCCACCACTGCGGCGAATCAATTTTGCGATTTTCGGAATTATTTGATGTAGTTAAATTAGGAAAGATCCAAGTTTTACGTATTCACGACGATTTGTATTCGCGTTACTTTTCTTCTCGCGAAAGTCGCGAAAATTAGTTGGTTTACAGTATACTATAAAGATACAAATCAAGGTAAAAAAACATGAAGAAATGAACTCCTACAGGAGCGAGAGACCGGTCAATATGTACATTGTAACGTGCAGGGGGTCCTACACGCCAGATGGTACTTCATGTACCCGTAGATCCGTACCTTAACTATATACCACAGGACAATATGTCACCACCTTATTCAGATAGTACAATTGGCTCTTGCTTATGAAAGCTTAACCAAAGGTCCTTGGTAAGCTACTTCTTATTCAGAAATAGTTATAATTACCTTTTCTTTAGTCTTTACTTTGCGAGCTTTGACGACCGAACTTCCTAACGCTGTGAGAAACTCTACTTATATACTAGGATAATCTCTAACCAAAATGCATATAATCTCTAAACAGAAATAAACATATTCCGCATTACTATTATGTTTTAATGTAACGCCTATAGTACTTTAATATCAAGCACTTAATTTTTAACTAGAAAGGATCGGAACCAGTACCAAAACATCGGAAATCGTTTTCCGTATTACAACCGTAATTAGCGTACTTCTTTAACAAACGAAAGTGAAAGTAGAATTTGTTATGTGAACATTTAATGGATTTAATCATTTGCCGACTTCCTAACAGACAAACTTAGAACTTCGTAGCATACTTAAGGTAACTTTATAATTTTCGTCACATTACCCACGCCTCAAAAGAAATGCATTTACAATACATGAGCTTAATCATCGACCTCTGGCCCTTTTTCAGACCCAAACTCTATCAACTATAAATTCTACAGTAACCACTGAGCATGTTCTCAAAATGCAAAGTACTCTCCATGGTACTATACAAAATTAACCGAACAAAATAAATGTCCACCATATCAACTCGTAGACAATACATCTACCATATGCTCAGATTTCAACCAGCTCCTATCAATACTTAGTCTACTACTATGGGTAATGGATTCCAAACAAAACTATTTAACTTAATACCCTACCCTTACTATATTAAATTTAAACACCGAAGGCATATATCACTTTGTCCCTTATACTTAGCTAAACAAAGATATTAACAAAAACACTATGGGCTGTGGGCATCAGAACTGAAATTAATAACTAACAATTTGGATCGTAAATCCGGTGTCAAAGGGAAACTTTAGACTGTCACTGGAAACTTAACTTTCCGAAATAATCCTGGTTGCAAAAATTTAGCCTATGTAGCGGCCCCAAGGAGCCTACTCTTAACGAACTCTACAAAGGGATCTTTAACGTGCACAGGACGTGACACTTCCTGAACACGGGGCATCGGATTTAACGTCCCCAGTCCGACCGGACGGTCATACAATAAAATTAGAACTTAAACACAAGAATAATATCGGGTATCTTTTACCATATAATAGTACACTTAAAATAATATAATGTGTCCTCTCACAGTCTGATAACTAACCCAGCAAACACACAACATTTTAAAAACATTTTTTAAATGTCATATGGACGTCTCTCACAAAATATTTCAATAAGATATCATTTAAACATTAAAAAAATGTTTATTTTATTGTTTTTGAAATGTTTTATTTCTAACATTTAAGTAAAATGTTTTTACAACATTAACAAAATATTATTTGCTAATATCTTTTATTCATGTTCTCAAACATTGTTCTAAAATATCCCGTAGATATTTTATAATATAAAAAAATAATATTTTCTTCAATTGGTATTTTATATTTTAACAACATTTAAAGTAAATATTTTCCAAATATCCAAAAAACATTCTGCAAAAAAAATGTTTTACAGAAAATATAGTTTTGCTATTTGCATAAAATGTTTTATAACGTAAAATTAAAATGTTTTACATAAAACATCTGAAAAATATCAGCTAAATGTTTTCTATAAAATATTCTGACATACACATTACTTAATAGTCTTACTGATATTTTATTCAACATTTTACGGATATAAAAATAACATTTTATTTAAACTTTATTCAAAACCCCACAAACAACGTTTTGTGGAATTAGCTCGTTTTTTTCAGGATAAGATATTTTACTACATTTCATCAATATCACGACAAGCAAGATACTAAAGTTGAAATCCTTACTTGATATCTTGAAGATCCTTGAAGTCAGATTTTATTCCTTCTTATATTAAAATTCAAAAGAGTCAACATTAAATTAAGCAATAATGTATTAATAAACAACCACCTCTCTTTGATGTTTATTCATTTCGTTCGTGTATATTTTAGAAATTAAGAAATGAAAACTGTAACTGTACTAAGTTCAATTTTCGTATGATTTATATGCCTTACGGAAAACCGACCTTTTCTGGAATCGACTTTTGTTTTATCACCGGAAATGATTTTGAAATTTGAATTTCGAAACGAAGACAGGATATCAGCAAAGAGAGACAAGAAACTTGTTTGTTTGTTTGTTACGCGATATATACTCACTTGGTAAGAATGATTAATCTGTTAAGATGAAACTTGTGCATTCATTGTGTGTGTTCAATCATAATCGGAACCAAATTGCATCTGTTTCTGGAGGTGCGGATCAAGGTTTTGAAAAAAGGAGGCCCCTGACCAAGGCAAGCAAACGTTTGGAGTGATACTTGTAAATAGTCTATACATTTATCTTATAAGTAGCTCCATAAGGGGGTCGGGGCCCCTAAATCTGCAACTGTTCAAGCATCTACGTACACCAATTATGAATTGTTCATTGATATAAAAAAAATTTATAAGGATATGTGGCTTGTGTGTTTGATTGCCAATACACCTTATTGCTATTTGTCCGCCATTACTGGCCATGGACATCACAAAAGTTCCCATAAAATGTTGACGTCATATATGAAAATATTTGACACCACAATTGAAAGTAATACACCTTATCGCTATTTGTCCGCCATTACTGGACATCACACAACTGTCACAAGTTCCCTTAAAATTTTGACGTCATCATAAAAAATATCTGATGCCACAATGGAAAAGTGATTGTTGTTTGATGTCAAAAGTTCAAGCAGGATAGATTCTCGGGTCAAGCGGGAATAGGGATAAGGTGTATTATTGTATGACGTATGCTGACGTAAAAAGTTCAAGCGGGACAGATTTCCAAATACTGAAATAGCGATAAGGTGTATGAGACAGCTATCCACCAGAATTTAAATGACTTGGATAAAAGAAATTATAGGTCACTGTACGGCTTTCAAAACTGAGAAAACCAATGCCATATAGTCCACTTTGAAGCCTTGACAAACAAATGTTAAATTTTTCTCAACACAATTGAAACAAAACAACTTACTAACTGCCTACATTAAATACACATTATGAAAAAGAAATTTGACCGACTTAAACCAACAACTATTGCAATAAGCATGACTCAATACCTTGTTTCCGAGGCACACAAACAAGTTACAATAACACTAATATAAGCACCATGTGAATATGGAGATTTTTTTTTCTAGTAAAATCAGTGTATGTATGTATTTGCAAAACAGTAAATTAAATTTCCCTTAACCACCGTGCATCATCAGTACAGCGGATATAGGTACTAACCAAGCGGGCGTGATCTATTTTGACCTCACACGGTAACGAAAATCTTTATTTTGTTCACATAATATCAATGTGTACCTCAATCTAAACATAGTTGTTGTTTTAAGAAATGATTTGGTCGTAGGTTGATGATTAGAGATGTCTCGTTATTTTCCCAAAACAAGAACGATTACTAAAAACATGTGCAAATACTTGTCAAAGAAGTTGGCACTCGTCTCATCAGATATAATTCTATATTCATTGATTCTCTTTTTCTGATAGAAGGCCACTGTGCATGTGTAATAAGTATAGTTGTATCAATAATTGGCATTGAAATCTTTCATGCATATGTTTTTTTCGATATTTTATTCCGAAAAGAAGCGTTGTGTACGGTGTTTAGCTGACCACATAAATCCTTCTGTACAGTGCATAGTTAAGTTTCTGTACACCGTACACAAAAACAAAATTTTCATACTCTTTTATTACCCAAAAAGTTTCAAGGAATGAGTAATCACAGGTAGGTTTATGATTGGTAACTATTACTTTTGCCATGTATTAGCTTTCTTTCAGGTAAAACATGTAAATGTCTCGACAATTGTATTGAAATTGAAAGTTGGTGTTGACATTCACAACTATTTGTGCATTTACAAGTTAATTGTTCTTATTAGAATATAAAAATTGTCTTATAAATAGGAAAAAATCGATGCGAAAATTATTTTGGAGCAGGAATTTCAGATGTTGAGAAATGTACACTGAATGTTGATAAAACAAAACAAAGATTTTCGTTACCGTGTCAGTTCAAAATCGTTCATGCCCGCTTGGTTAGTACCTATATCCGCTGTACGATGATACACGGTGTTAACAGCTTAATGAACATTACAAAGACTATGTAAGACTTCAGTACAAGCAAGATAATATAAACTGTTGCTTAAAATTATATTTATTGCTTCATACACACAATGTACATACAATGTATCTTTTATTTTTTAACAGGAGCTAAAAGAAAAGCCACAAAGGACAAGTTCAATATGCAGGTTTACAATTTGGAAGTGTCGCAGGTTCTTTGGAATCACTACAACCTTTCAGGAGAATTTTTTTTTGAAGTAAGATTTTTATACAGAATTACTGTTATTCCATATTTAATTCAAATATTTAGCATAAACAATGCATTACATTCAAGATTAAGGGCATACAATACAGAAAAGATATCTGGATATTTGAATAAATTATTTTTTTTGTGACAAAATAGAAACAAGTTGTTTATTTATATCAATCTTTTAGTCCAACAGTATGCTTTCATAAACAACATATTTGCTTTCCTTTGAAGTATTTCAAATACATATAAACAACTCATTTAATGACATCTGTGTGTTTCTCGGTAGTTAATTATATTATTATCATCATTGCGAAAACAATGCGTAACACTTCGATAAGTTATAATGTGCCTATAGTATACTTCTAGGACTGTATCATATACCCTTAGATAAATGACAAGTTATAAACTATGTCACTCTACATAGTTTAACACTTAAAAGGACAATAAGATGTTTAATGACATTATGTAGCAGGGCTTTTAAAGGCCCCTACATGATACAATGCATTTAATGAAAACTAAAAAACAACAAGAAAAACAACAACCTGATTTATACAAAACAATAAAAGAAAAAAAATATGATAGACAACAATCAACAAGTATAATGAAATAAGACTCTTGACTGCACAAAAATCTAGTCTAAAGTTATTTATGTGTTTTTTTTTAATAACTAAATGAAGTTCAGCGTGGCATATTGCTCTCTTAACACGGTCAGACATTTATCATCCCCTTCTGACAGACTATCATCGTTATTTGTTTCAAAAGTTTAAAGGGGAGGGGATGTATATCCTTCAGGCAACGTGAATCGTTCTATAATAAAGGAATGTGCAAGAAGTTTATATATGAATGTAAGATTAATTTTTTTTTTCAGAAGCATGGCACAGCAAGGAAAAGATATAAGACACTACAAGACATTCCAAGTGATTTTGAATAAGACAACTGATTGACTTTTTCAATGTATTCTTAAATAAATCAAATAGTTGATGTAAAATGGTGTTTTGTTCTCATCTCTTCAGCCAATTATCAATGATTATTGACTTAAGATGTAACCCTATTAGAAGTGTAGCGTTTTAGTTTAGAAAGAGAAGTTGTATTGAAAAATCTGAATTTGGGACACAAGCTTTAGTCAATGTAACTTGAACTTAAAAATGTGTATAATGTTTGCATAATGTCCAATGGCATATATGTCATACATGTTCAGGTTGACATATGCATGATGTGTGTAAGATAGGTAATAAAAGTTGAGAGTGAAAAACTAAACATTATACCATTGTGGTTGGAATGTGGGCTTTCTTTTACTGTCTGTCGTCTGTTCACCTATATTTGTCGGATTTTGTCCAACAAATATTTTCATCACTGTTTTTCCCAAAACTGCTGATAAAGATGAGTTCATATTTAATGAGCTGCCTGATAGTGATGAACTGTGATGTGTGAACATTTTTTGTATCTGGCACCTGTTTCCTGTTTGCTTATACATTGTATTTCAAAATGTTGAATGTTCTCAAATTTTTTATTACTTTAATTAGTAATGCTGATGAACAGAATGACTTCATATTTGGTAAGTGGCTTGACCATGATGAGTTGTGTCTGCCATTTTGGATGTGTCAAAATTTGTAGATACTTCTTGTTTTTAGAGACTTTGAATTGTGAATTTCATATGCTTAGCAAAACAACTGATTTATTCTTGTTTGTATATAGAATTATTCACTGTGTATAAATTAATTTAACTAATGATTTGTTATTTAAAAAAGCAGGAAACTCAATCAAAAGTACAGAAATTTTTATATTGATATGATCTAAATATCAACCAAAAACATCTTCTTAAAACATTTTGAAAACATTTTTTAGGCACAGTCTCACTTGCAAGAAATCATCCAAAAAACATTTTTATAACATTATTTGATGTTCATGATGTTTTTCAAACGTTCAGAAAATATTTCTAGAAAATGTTTTTTAAAAGATTATCAAAATGTTTTATACGCCATTGTTTTTCACATTATCATGATATTTCTTTACAACATTTTAATTATATTATGCAAATATTTTAGAAAATATTTTAGAAAACGTTTTAGCGATATATATTCTACCATACATTTAATGTTTTTCTCACGTTTTTTTGTGATATTTTCATGACATTAGACACAACATTTTAAAAACATTTTAAAGATGTTTTTGTGTTTGCTGGGAAGTATTCAATCGTCCTAAACTGATAACTAACTTCGTCCACATATTCTGACACGAAGTACTGACATGCAGCCTCCTTGGCATTCATGTAGAATTTATGTACACACGGTGTGTAATGTTTAATCAGTCGTCCCAAGTTTCTTCTTTGGCCTCCTCCACCTTTACACCTTCTTCATACCAGGTTCTAACAGTTCTTTTAAGATGGTGATGAGCAATCGCCCCAGGGGTTTGTGTTTTAATCGTCCTCTTGGCAGGAACAACCAAACCACAAGTCGGCTGACGAAAGATGCCACCTCCAAGCGACGAAGTTACATGTGTATGTGCCACTGGACTTGTGAACAATACTGGAGACGTTATAGAGGAAGCCACTAATAAATTACTTCTTACTGCGGTGGCAGTAGTCCTCGGTACTTTAACCGGTACCACACTATCTGCCAGGCGGTCCATCAACTGCCTCTTCTTGGCCGAGCCAAACACTGGCAGAGGTTTGGTTGGCTTTCTCACTGGTGCTATCTCCGGAGTGGCCGACGTGACATCAATGCAGGATGACGCAGTCGGTCTCTGACTAAACTGAATTTCATCTGAATCAGTATCACTTTCTGGCACAGATACTGCTGATTTCTGGTGTTTCCTCTTGTTGTGCCTTCTGAGATCTCTTTCAAGAAGGGCTGCATAAGTGCATGCCGGTTCTTTGCAAACGAAAGAGGTGGACACCCGCTTCTCCTCGTAACATTTGACTATATGGTCACCCCACTCTTTTGCTGTGGAAAACCTATCCCCACAGACAGGACATCTGTAAATCTCCTGCGAGGACTTTGCTGGCGTTGTCTTTGTATTTACCATATTTAGATCTACAATTATAAAACTAATACTTAATATTAAAAATATATATTTACACTGTCTCTTTACAACTCAAAACACACAATTTAGCGTTCGTAGTCTTTCATCCACGATGGAGGTTTTCTAAACCTCCTTGGCCTATCATTATCTACATCCTCATGATCATCTAGATCCAATAAGGGCAAAGAGTCAATGATAACTTCTTCTTGAATCTCTGATTCTAACTCGCCTGTTTTCTCAGGGCTTTGTTCGTCGACAAGGTTTTCCCCCCTTAGTATTTGTTGGGGACAAGGGCGCATCCTATCTACATGTATGACTTGACCCGCTCCCTTACGCCCACAATTGACGGTGTATGTGACATTTGAGTTTATCTTAATCACCTTATATGGACCACGCCACTGATTAGTGAACTTTGGTGACAAACCCGGGGTCCTAAGGGGAAAATATACATAAACCATGTTGCCAGGTTCAAATTTAGCCCAACTGACATTTTTGTCATGGTTTTTCTTTTGCCTTAACATTTGTCCAGAGACATGTCTCTGAACAATCTGATGTGCCTCTTCCATGTGTTCTTGTAATTACCATGCCCATTGATTCTGAGGTATTGCCTTTACTTGGGATGGTAACTTATATATTAAGTCTAGGGGTGTAGACACTTCCCTTTCCAACATTAATCTATTGGGGGTGTAACCAGTGGTCTCATGTTGAGAGGACCTATAGGCCACCATGACATAAGGAAGTAATATGTCCCAATTGGAGTGATATTCATTTATATACCCCGTAAGCATTGTAGCGAGAGTTTTATTGAATTGTTCTACCATCCCGTCAGATTTCGGGTGATAAGGGGTCGTACGGGTCTTTTCTATCTGAATCAACTTGCACATTTCCTTAAACAAGTGACTCTCGAATTGACTACCATGATCGGAATGGATAATAGTTGGTACCCCAAACCTAGAAATAACCTCGGTCATAAGAATGTTTGCAACTGTAGTTGCCTCCATGTTGGGCATGGGGTGACTCTCTGTCCACTTAGTATAATAGTCACTTAAAACTAATATATATTTATTGCCTTTGTCACTTTCGGGGAGTTCCCCAAGGATATCCATAGCAATTCTCTCCATGGGATAACCTGACTCTTTAACTTGCATTGGGGCCTTTCTTTTAGGAATTGGTTTCTTTCTCTTATTACATATTGAACAACCAGCAATGTAACTCCAAGTATCACCTCCTGAAAAGGATTTAGCAAATAGGTTTTGTGAATTTTTTCTTGGAAAAATTGATACCATTCGAAATGGATTATGTGCATCGATCGGCGAAATGTCGGGAATTCGTAATTAGCTATCAGCTGATCAGAAATTCAAGGGCGTGCATTTACATGTTCTACCTCCTGCAACACTCGAAGATGTCAAGAAAATTATTCTGAAAGCGCCATCCAAATCTTGTGAACTGGACCCTTTGCCAACACACCTTCTCAAAGAGTGCATAGACAATTTAGCGCCTGTTATTACGAACATAGTGAACATGTCGTTGGCTGAATCGATAGTACCTTCAACTTTCAAAGAGACAGTTGTGCGGCCTTCACTAAAGAAAGCAAACCTAGACAAAGAAGTTCTAAAAAATTACCGCCCTGTGTCAAACTTGCCATTTGTATCCAAAGTTGTCGAGAGAGTTGTTGATACGAGATTTGGATCTCATATCATGTTGAACTCTTTACATGACGATATGCAGTCAGCATATCGCACCGGACATTCAACTGAAACAGCACTGATCCGCGTTCATCATGACATTACACACGCATTCGACAACAACTCTTGTGTAATATTGCTGATGTTGGATCTCTCAGCAGCGTTCGACGTGATCGATCACGACATTCTTTTCAATCGTCTTCAGTATACTTTTGGTATATCTGGAACAGCCTTGTCGTGGCTTCGTTCCTACTTGACTAATAGGTCGCAATGTGTCTCCATTGGATCTGTTCACTCCGACAATATGGTTCTGAAATATGGTGTCCCACAGGGTTCCGTGCTTGGACAAAGACTTTATTCCATGTTTTCGTACCCGGTTAGTGAAATCTGTAAGACGCATGGCATGGCATACCACTGTTATGCGGATGATACACAAATTTATCAAGTCATCAAACCATTAGATAATTGGGATGACATTACCGAGCGCCTAGAAGCTTGTTTGGAAGATATTAAAACTTGGATGTGTACAAATATGTTAAAGTTAAACCAGGACAAGACCGAATTGATTGTGTTTGCTCCAAAACACAAAGTCAAAAGTCTAAGTAAGTTGCGACTGAATTTTGATGGAACTATACTAAGTGAATCTAGCTGTGTTTGAAATCTAGGAGTTTTTCTCGATCAAACCCTCAGCATGCAGCAACAGACCAATGCAATTACCAAATCCTGTTTCCATCAGATTCGTAACATAGGACGGATTCGATCATATATAACGGAGGACGCTTGTATCCTCTCTTGTCACGTCGCGACTTGATTATGGTAATGCTTTTATGTATGGTGTGAATGCCTCGAGTCTATCCAAACTTCAGCGTGTTCAGAACACCGCTGCCAGGCTAGTAACCCGCAAAAAGAAGTTTGAACATATAACTCCAACACTTATGACTCTTCATTGGCTACCATTTAAATTCCGATGCCAGTATAAACTGTTGCTTTACGCATTCAAAGCCTTGCATGGACTTGCACCTGCGTATCTGAGTGAACTCATACATGTTTACAAACCAGCACGATCGTTGCGATCTGAAAATGCTGCTTTAATCAAGATGCCAAAAAATGCAAAAAATGCACGGACAAAAATGTATGTGAACGGAGGTTTGATGTGGCGGCCGGGACTCTGTGGAAAAGCCTTCCAACAAATCTTAGAAATGAACAATCGCTAGAACTATTCAAGAAAGGACTAAAGACGCATTTATTCAAAGTTGCATTTGTGGATCTCTTATAGTTAAGA